AAACTCAAAGTTTATCGATAAAGCCATTTTAAAAGGCAGTTTAGTTTTATAAAGAACACTAGTGACTTTAAAACGTTTTGCGAAGCGTTTGTGGTTGAATTTTACCTTAAATTGAGGCTTATATTACGTATAAAAACATACCTAACATATATTTATGTTGGGAAATTAATAATTTTGTAATTAAAAGTGATATTTTTAGGCGATTTTTCATTTGTAAGAATATTCTTAAAAAATTATCGTGTTACCATGACAACTACTTTAGAACTTCATGTTTGGAAAATACAATGGTTTTGTCAGCAAGGCGAGGGTTTCTGCATGCATGTATTTTCTAGTTAAGGTAATTTATAATTGACTACTTGAACTATTAATTATTGATAAAACTATATTACAGGTATAAAACTAAGAGAAAGCTCATTCTTAAATGTTCATCAAGTCCGGATCGGTCCAATCCTTGTTTCTACAACAAAATATATAGTACGTTGTTCTGATGGCGATGGACATTATTTTCTTAACACAAAAGTTCTGATGTTTTTTATCAAGACCAACTTCGTTCAACATTTTCATAAACGTGCTACATTCTTTTGAGAAAACACCCAAGGCAGTAATAGACAAATTAATAAATTTGACAGTTTTGAAATGGTCTTTCTGCTGCGTAATTAGATCCTTCTATCTTAAAGTGCCTATGACATGAAATTTCATCCCAAATGTTTATGGTTGCATTGTAAAGATCATTTAAAATGACTTAATAATTTATTTTATAGAATTTTTGTAACTTGCTTCCTTTTCAAGATATTCAACTTTGTTTCGTATGCAAATATCACCGGTGTGACATCACATCGCATAATGAGTTTTCTGAAAAGTATAGTTTTCTTGACGAATACGTATCTAAAAAACTTAAAAATTGCCCTTGTACATGTATTTATTTCATAACTGGTAATTAACCCTCTGTATTTGTTTTTAAAAATATTTTATCAAGGTAAAATATTGCGTTTTCAAAATGTCATTATGCAACGTGATGTCACACCGGTGATATTTGCATATGAAACAAAGTTAAATATCTTGCAAAGGAAGCAAGTTACGAAAATTCTATAAAATAAATTATTAAGTCATTTTAAGGGATCTTTACAATGCAATCATAAACATTTGGGGTGAAATTTCGTGTCATAGGCACTTTAATAATAATAATAATAATAATAATAATAATAATAATAATAATAATAATAATAATAATAATAATAACAATAATAATAATAATAATAATAATAATAATAATTTATTATTTTTATTTTTTTTTAATAATAATAATATTTTTATTTTTATTTTATTTTTAATAATAATAATAATTTTTTTTTTTTAATAATAATAATAATAATTTTAATAATAATAATAATAATAATAATAATAATAATAATAATAATAATAATAATAATAATAATAATAAGAATAATAAGAATAAAAAAATAATAATAATAATAATAATATGTAAATTTTAGTTAATAACGATAAATTAGATACAGACAGTGATGATGTGGTCGTGAAAATAGCAAAAATTCTAACTAAACTAACTATAAAAACCTATATTTATATATAATTGTCTGAATATTGATCTTTAAATCTTTTCTTTAAAGTCTTGAAACTTGTGTATTCCAGACATCTTAACTCGTTATCAAGAGAGTTCCATAAAACAGCTCCCTTGTACGACACAGACTTCTTCAAGTAGTCAGTTTTCGGTTTTGGAATTCTTTAACAGTTCATTGTTCGCAAGTTATACATTCTTTCTCTTTTCACAAATAATTTTTGAAGGGGGGGGGGGGGGGGAGAAATTTGATGATAGCAGTTAAATACTAAACTTAGCAATTTTAAATCATAAAATAGTTTAAGAGTTCTCCAGTTTCCAAGTCTTTTCACTTCAGTTGACGGAGTGTTTCAAGCACATCCCAAAAAAATTCTTGCTGCTCGTACGTGGAGCCTTTCTAGAGTGTCCCATACTGTTTTTCTACCGAGCGAGAGGCGTAGTCAGAGCTGCGAAAAATTTATGCCGCTCCTGGCAAAATGTATAGCAGTATAAGAAAGGGAATAATTGACTATACAGAGTGTATAAAAGAACTGAACAGCTATGAATTTGCTCTCAATTTCGCAAAGCAGCTATTAGTATCCAGTTTTTGATGTGTACAGCTTCTTTGGGTACTAATAATGTAGAATAATGAAAAAAAGTTCACGAACTCAAATTTTTTGAACCAGGGGTGTGTGTTTTCGAACAAACTGAAAATAGCTTGCGCACGAAATATAAAAGCTTTAATCATATTTGGGTTAATAGATGCAAAATTTGTTGGGAATTTAATTACTGTACAAAATTTCAGACAATTTGCTTTAGTTTAAGCTCTTTAACTACTCACGCAAACTTACATTTTCCCCTAAAAATCAGCTATTTTCATGCTTACTTAATGCCTTTGCCTAATTTGCATATGTTAGCAATATGTAAATTAGGTAAAGGCATGAATTAAGCATGCGCAATGCTAATTTTTTAGGAAAAGATGAATAGCTAAAGGGCTTAAACTAAAGCAAATTGGGTCATTCCAGAAAACATCCATATCACCCCCACGGAGGAAATAGGAAGTTAACCCCAATACCCCCTTTGGATGTCCTAATACATTTACTATTATCAGAAGCAATTTTTTCTCCCCTCCCCCTCCGGACGGCAGAAATTTCTTCCGTAGGGGGAATATGGATCTTTTCTAGAACGGTCCATTCTCTGAAATTTTGTACAGTAATTAAAAACCCAACAAATTTTCCATCTATTAACTCAAAATATGATTAAAGCTTTTAAATTTCGTGCGCAAGCCATTTTTAGTTTGTTGGAAAAGACACCTCCCCCTGGTTCACAAAACGTGAGTTCGAGAAATTTTTTTCATTATTCTAAATTATAAGTACCCAAAGAAGCTATATACATCAATTTGATACACCCTGTATAGTTTGCTGTCAATAATGCAAAATTTCTGTAGAATATATGCTTTGCTGCGCATCGATGTGAAATCTAAAACCTTGTTCGCTTATTTGCAGCACACAGCTTGAAACACATACCTTTTCTAACCATAATTATTTCACTACATATTAAATGAGAGTTAGATGAAGTTTAAACCAATCTGATTTTTACCAGTGTTTTCTTCACACGGGCTCGGCAGTGCCGTCGTGGCCGGGGAGGGGGCATGCCCCCTTATTGTTATGACCCGACGGAAAATTGTCATTCTTGTCGGAATCTTCATGGTGACTCATCGCTCATCGGAAAAAGTGATACGGAAATCTGGAAAAGGGCTACGAAAGCAATGGTAATGTTATTGTCCGGAAATTTTTTTTTACTAAAAAAGGGGGGAGATTTAAAATGTTGTGGTCACGAAAATTGTTTGGCCCCACCTGGGTTTTTGCTGGCCCTCCCCTGTCCAAAAGTCCTGGCTACGCCTCTGTGTCGAACTCCATATCAAGATATCATATGTAATAGAGGGTATTGTCACTTTAAAGTAAAAGTCAAGTTTTGCTTGTTTAGGTAAAAAATATGAGGAACGAATAAAAAACTATACGAATCAAAAACGAATAAAAAACTATGCACTCTGAAGATCATTGTTGGGGCGTCCCCTCACCCTTCCCCGCTCCTCTCTCCTGCTTCGTTGCGCAATTGTTATCACTGGCCTGTTACGCCATTCCACGTTACGCATTACAATTACTACTACCACATTTTCACCTGAAATTAGGAATCCAAGGACAAATGCCTTTTTAGTAGCGATTGTTTCTCATTTTGACATGCATCCAAAGTATATTG